GGGCGGGGCCGGGGATCCCTACGCGCCCCTCATGGTGCTGATGTGCCGGGTGTGCCTGGAAGACAAGCCCATCCAGCCCCTGCCCTGCTGCAAGAAGGCCGTGTGCGAGGAGTGCCTCAAGATCTACCTGAGCGCCCAGGTAACCTCGCCCCTCCGGACCCCCGTGCTTCCCGCTCGCCGTTGCCAGCCGCGGCCCGTGGGAGCGGTGGCCGCGGCGCCCCGGGCCTCCGCCGGCTTCTCGCGTCTCGGTTGTTGAGCTGGTCTGCGCGTGTTTTGTCCTCGTTGGCTTACTTGACCGGAATTCACCCCTGCCCTGGGCGGCAGGCTTCGGTCGGCAGCTGCGGAAGGCGCAAGGTGTCACACAGCCCTCTGCCCTGTGCGTACTTCTCCTGGATTGCAGGCACCAGCTTGCTCGGAGGAGGCGGGCAGGAGACTGCCTCATCGGCCTGGTATCCCAGAAACTAACAAGCAGTGGGCATAAAATAAACATTCGTGGAGCTAGCGGAGAGGACGGTGGGGACAAATATTTCAGGCCTGTGGTACCTGAATTTTAAAGTGTGCCCCATTCATGTATTCCAGAAAAGTATTGACTTAAAAAATAATTATTTCTTGGCCTTTGCCCACTCTTAGTTTTTTCTTTTTCCACAGTAAAGCTGAGGCGCTTTTCTTCACTGACGTTTTAAGCCACAGCCGTCCTGTATTTCTGTGAGAGGGAAACAACACAGAAGGAGCAAAACAAAGCAAAGAGGCTAAGAGGTTTAGCCAAACAGGCGCTGCGAAACTTTTTTCCCTCGGCCTCTTCTTTGACAACCTGTTTTTTTTCTTGGAACACTCGAGAGTGCAACAGCTTTCCTCCACTGAGGGTGAATGGGCTCCTCCTCAATCTGTGATGTTTATGCCAGTGTTTTGCACAATCCAGAATGCCCTTTGATCCGGTGTCCAATTGTCCCGGGCCTATTCACCTCTCAAAACCTTGTCTGTTCAGGTGCCAGAGGTTCTCTGAAGCCTTACCTCACCCTCCAGATCACTGCTATATACTTTGAAATATCTTACGTGCACTGAAGTTGTCCGTGATGCGTCTGTTTGTCTTGCTGGACTGTCTGGACAAGGTCTTCTAGTCCCTTACGTGGTCGTTTCATGTTGAGTCCTTTTCCGTCATCCTGTTTCATAACACGGGCTGAAGCCAACCGAACGGACTTCTCTCCGAGCGGTTCCTCTATGTTTGGGGGCTAATCCATGCTTGAGTCTAGACTGAAAGCGTATAAAGTGCTGCACTGAAAAGGCAAAGGGAAACTTAGAATGGAATGTTACACAAACAGTAAGTTGACCAAAATAGTTGAGATGATTTAAAAGCCTCGGAGAGACTGTGATGTCTCTTTCATGCTTTATCCACAAATAGATACTTAGAGAGGAGGAATGTCTGCTGCTGGTTGTGGTAGTTTCTGTGACTTCACCATCCGACAGATATTACTGCTCTCGGTGAGCAAAGCTCTGTGGTGCGGTTCGGACCTTTCCAAAATATGGGCCCTGTTCCAAGGAATTTGCTGGGTGAGCAGATGTGCACAAAAGAACAATACAAGGTAGCGTAGAGTGGGATGTCAACAGAGAAACCTGCCAGGTAGCACTTTCTGTTAAGTGCTGGGTACAAATACCAGTCTTTGCGGACTGGGAGACCCTGCCTGGCAGTTCGGTTTCCTTTTAAGGTGGGGCCTTTTCCCAGAGTTGTCCTTTCCTTTTTTAAAACCACTGTAAGTTGGCTTTAGGAAGTCAGTGTTTTGATCCCTAAGGGAGAAAAGAAGGAATGGTGGTGGGGAGTTGGTGGGAGGGCAGAGCAGAAGGAGTCGAGTGGTTCTTGCAAGCGTGCTACTAAAGACGCCTCTCAAGTGGCATAGTATCTGAAGCTTGTCTGCAGTATTTCTGATTGTATGTACGTTCCTGACCTTCTTTCAAAGCATTGGACAGAAGTTTAAATAAGTAAAAATATACATTTCTTGAAATAAACAACAACAAAATTATGAGTCATGTACCAGGCAGGCTTCCACCTCAGGGCTTTTGCACTGACTGTTGCCTGATTCTGGAATGCCCCCCTCCGAGTCCCGTTTGCTAATTCACACCACTGCCTCTCAGGTCTGACTTCAAATGTCACCCCTTGTGACTTTCACTGGCCACTCTTTTTTTTTTGAGTTGGAGTCTCACTCTGTCACCCAGACTGGAGTGCAGTGGCCGTTCCCGGCCACCGCAGCCTCGACCCACTGGGCTCCGGCGATCCTTCCGCCTCAGCCTTCCGAGTAGCCGGAATTACAGGCGCGCGCTACCACGCCCGGCTGATTTTTTTTGATTTATTACAGAGATGAGGTCTCGCTGCCCAGGCGGGTCTCGAACCTGCGGACTCAGGCAATCCACTCACCTCAGCCTCCCAAAGGCGCGGCATTGCAGGCTGAGCCACCGAGCCCGGCTTTGGCCACTCTTTTCAAAGCTGAGCCGCACCCCGCACTTCGCGTCTGTGTTCCTGCGTTTTATTTTCTCCATGGCGCTAACATCCTCTGTCGTCTACATATCACGGAGACTGACATTTTCACGGGATTTGTTCACTTCTGTGTCATTACCATCTATAACATTGTCTGGCATAAAGATGGTGTGCAACCAGTAGTTACTGAAGTCAGGCAGCACCTGAGGTTGCCCGGAAGCCAACACTAAGAGGTGATGTTTTGCTTGGGCACTAATTTCTACACTGAACTAATTGAGAAATTTGTGGCAAAAAGCAAAGGTTCAAAGCGGACAAGGGATAATGTGTTTGTTCAGTTAGTTATTGAGCTGAGAAAGAGTTTAGATAAACTTTTAGCTTTATACAAAACGTAGCTTTTTTCAGTTGGATAAAAATACAGGATTGTGCTTGTCATATTTTGGATTTGTGTTACTTGTGAGGTCCTTTCTGCTCAAAGAGTCTGGTGTTCTCTGTCATTTAACCGCTCTGTGCCTCAGTTTCCTCGTCAGTGAAACAATTGCAGACAACGATTTGTATTACCCACCAGCTCCAAAGCAAAAGAAAATCAAACCGCATGGCTGCTTCGCTGCGTTACTGAACAAGATCAAATGGGCATTGTGGGTACTTTCTTTCTCATTTTGGAGAGTGTCTGAGGTTGACAGAAGCAAATGTGTCAAGCCTGAACTTTCAGGGTTCTTGAAACCTTTGGAAATAAAATGATATATTTTAAGTGAAGAGTTATTGTGACTTTTTTCACTCTTTTTAAGTTTGTTTCATATTACTTAGTGCATTATATAACATCATTTAAGAATAATAGAGTCCCTATTAAACATTTTATGCAAACATTAACGCATATTAAGTTTGAGTGAGGCACGGAGACTCAGTCTGTAATCTCAGCACTTTTGGAGGCCGAGGGGAGAGGATTGCCTGAGTCCGGGGGTTCGAGACCAGCTGGGCAACTTGGTGAGACTTCGTCTCTACAGTAAATCAAAAAATAAGCTGGGTGTGGTAGAGCGCGCCTGTAGTTCCCGCTACTTGGAAGGCTGAGGTAGAAGGATCACCTAAGCCCAGCAGGTAGAGGCTGTGGTGGCTGTGAGTGTGCCCCTGCACTCCAGCCAGGGCTACAGAGTGAGCTCCAACTCAAAAAATAAAAATAATTTTAAAAATGTGAGTTGGACTATTGCCTGGTTACATGAAAACTCTTCTCAAAAGGAGATGCTGAGTTCTTTGAAAGAAGGTTAAGAACTTGGAAGATAGGAATGTGAATTTTTAGATGATAAGTTCATTTCCATTAGTGCCATGGACAGTGTGTGGCAAAGGCTGATGTATGATGTCAGTATTTCAGTACAGAGCTAGCAGATTAGGTGGTGGTGACTTCAATACCTCTATGCTGTGGTATAAAATAATAGCTTTATTTTTCAGTTATCGCCATGACTGGGCTGGGGCAACCTTCCTAGTGGGATAACTTTACAGCCCAGTAAGTTTCATCTAGTTTCTGATTGCTATGGTGGATCGTTGAACTGATAGATTATAATTCTGGCACCACAGTTGAGGTTAATTTCAAGCTATAGAACACCAGGGCAAGATTGGTTTATAATGCCTGGGTACCTACATCCTTGACACATAGATTTTAGAAGCGCATTTCCCAGTTACCTATGTATAAACGTGTGAAAATGGCTACAGGACAAAGTCCCAGGGGTGTTTGCAAAATCCTGCAGTTCCAAGTCCTCCTAACTGTTGGCCTTCTTAGCTGCTTCGGCTTTTACCATTTTCCTGCAAAGAAAGAGATCTGTTGCCTTCCTGGTTTCATACAATGATATGCTCATTTCAGAAATCCTCCAAAGATAGCTTTCTTTTGTGATTTTGGTTTAGACAGGAAGATCTGTTATAAATATGAAGTATTAGTATTTAGTACTTTAGACGAAGAAAGGAGAGAACTGAGCATACCAAAGGGCATACTAAAGATAACAGCTGTTGTGGCTTTCACAACTCTGCTTAGAAGTACTAAGGATTGGCAGATACGAATGACTTGGAATGTATACACCTGTCCAGTGAGTATTAATAGAGACAAGCAGCACATTTCGTCTACAGATTGTGAACAAAACAACTGTGGATGGTAACGTCCTAAAATGACTGTCTGCTGTGGTCACCCTAGAATTGGTGACCCAAGGGCAAGCGCTCATCCATCCTATTATTAGACTCTGAGTCATCCAGATCTTCTAGGGTAAAAATGTAAAGTGAATTCTCTTCCTTTAAACCTTAAAGCCCTCTAAATATTTTTAGAAACCATTGTGTTCAATATTGAGTTTGAATGTAGTTGTCTTTACACAGGTGAATTTATAGGTTTTATCATGCCGGATGTGATGGTGGTAGTCCTGAAAAATGTGAGGAAAAATATGAAATGGAAATCTGTTTTGAGGTCACTCTACAAATTTTAAAAGTAAGGATCAAGGTATATAGAAGCATGTTCTTTTGTGTACAAAATTTGTGTGTCTGTTGTGTACTTGGGGTGCAGTAACATTTGCTTTTGTGCCTTTCTGACTTGTGTTTATTTTGCTCTTCTCTTTCTACTTCACTTTTCTTTAATAATTTCTTTTTTCTTTTTGTCTTACCTTTCAAAATCTGATTTTAACTGGCATTTGATTTCTTCAGCA